TGTTATAATATCTGACTCATTAAGTACACTAAAAGCTTTACAGCAACTGTATCCATCAAATTAAATTATAATGCTAATAAATAACGAACTCATACTACTATCAACAAAAAACATAGAAATAACTTTTTATGGGTGCCATCACACGTGGGAATCAAGGGAAACGAAGCAGTAGACCAACTTGCGAATGAAGCTGCACTAGATGAAAGCATCCCTGTGTCATACATGATAACAAGAAACGACCATAAAACTTCCATTAAAAAACATATTACCAACTTATGGCAGTGTAACTGGAATTCCACATCCAATAAATTAAAAGATGTTATAGAAACTGTCGGCACCACCTTACCACTCCCACTCAAACGTTGTGAACAAGTGATAATAACTCGACTACGATTAGGACATACTATACCAACCCATATTCACTTAATAAATAAAGAAGCCATCCCTTTCTGCCACAATTGCAAGATCCAAATAACTGTGAAACATATTCTGTTAGAATGCAAAACCTACACCCAAGAAAGAAGAAAAAATAACCTCTCTACCAACATGAAGGATCTACTAAGCTACCAGTTCAACAAAGTGCTGAAATATTTGAAAGACATTAAATTTTACAGTGTTTAATAGAACATATTTTATTTAAGTTATACATATATATATATACATTGTAAGAAATTGTACTTGTAATTTGTATTTGTACCCCCTGCTAATAACTCTTAGTAGTTGATGCAGGGTTATTTTTGTTTAAATAAAAAAAATAAATAAGCAAGTCAGAGTTGACTTTGAATTAAGTTTATTTTAAGTTTATGATATTTGTATGTATAATAACATTATATGCTGTTTTTCTCAGTGTATATTTCATCTAGTTACGCTCTTTATGTCTAATTGCTATATCAATTAATTCTCTAGTGACCAACCCCTACAAGTATGGCCTAAGGCCATACTTGTAGGAGTTTGAAAGCCAGTAAATTACCATAGTTTAGCAGAAACTTGTATCTTAGTTACATCTGATTTAAAATTAAACTGTTTATTCATATGTTACTGTTCAGACCAAGTCAATATTTTACTTGAATGTACCACAATAACCATTTTCATATATATTAACTATGCCCTACAATACTAAATGGTAAAAGCGTTTATTGATTAATATATATATATATATATATATATATATATATATATATATATATATATATATATATATATATATATATATATACTATACTATATATCTAAGATTCATACGTTGATTATTTCTCAAATCAATAATGTCACTGCTTTCCTTGATGATCACCTTCCTGTCAATTTGTTAAACACTTTTGAGTCATCTTTACATAAGAAATTTAATTTCATTGATCATAAATCCATGGCACACCTTCGCAAAAAATTTAATAATTTAGAAACCCCCCAATTTAAAAAAATTCCATTTAATCCTAAGTGGATTAAAAACTGAGGTTCCTCAGGACATACTCAAGTTGTTATCTTTGGGTCCCAAATTTGACTTACAGCCATCTTTCAGAGATTACTCTGTTAGTAGAATCTTAGCAGATGTAGAAAATATTTTGTCACATGCTGACAATTCCGACCTTCTATCTCTTAGGATTCTTCCAACAATATTCTGCTGAATTTCACTAATCGTCCTAGACAGCCCATATCGGAGTTAGACAAGATTTATAGGCAGACGGTATCGTTTTTAAAAACCCACCCTAATCTTCTCGTTCTTACTAGTGATAAAGGCAATGCCACTGTCCTCATGGAGAGAGAACAATATATCAGTCTCAGTCAATCGTTGTTAGATGATGATAGATACTATCAACCCCTTTCTAACAACCCTTGCTTTAAATTTACTAATAAAATAAATAAATTCATAACTCATTTAAAAAACTTAAAGATCATAGATCAACCACTTGCTAAATTTTTACATAATTACGATGGATATGCTCCCAGATTTTATTGTCTAGCGAAAATACATAAGCCTACATTGAGCATGAGACCTACTATGTCATCCATTAATTCACCTAATATTAATATTTCAAAATTTTTAACGGACATCTTATCTAAATCTTATAATTATAACAACAACTTTAATATTGTTGATTCTTTTCGCTTTAGTGAATTTATTAATAACTTTAAACTTCCTTAAGGTTACATTTTAGTTAGTTTTGATGTGATATCTATTTTCATTAGTTTACCTCTTTCCAGTGTTATAACTTCCTCAAGAAATCATTGGAATTCCATCCAACCTAACTGTCCTGCTTCCTGGGATGTATTTGCAGAATTGTTGCAATTAGTATTTGACACTAATTTTTTGTTCTTTAATGACAAATAATATTTTTGGCACACCTATGGGTTCCTCTATCTCTCCCATCCTAGTTAATTTTGTACTAGATGATTTAGTATCTGACCGTTTGGGTCTTTTAGATTTCCAAATCCCTTTTATTAAGCGGTATGTGGATGATTTATTATTAGCCTTACCTCCAGACAAGATACAGGCCACCTTATCTTGGTTTAATCAATTTGATCCTCATTTACAGTTCACTGTTGAACTTGAGGACTCCCTCAGAAATGGCATTCCCTTCCTAGACATGCGTGTCATTAGAATAAAAGATAAAACCTTAACCACAAGTTGATATAGGAAACCGATGGCCTCTAATAGGTTTATCAACTACCATTCCTGTCATCCTTTCAAATATAAATTAAACTTAATTAAAGCTTTAAGCTGCAGGCTGAATAGATTGACACATCCGGTTAATCGAAGGGAATCCCTTTAATTACTTAGAAATATTCTCATTGAGAATTCTTATCCTTCTTCCCTCATACATAAATACCTTTTTGTACAAAGCTATGGTTCCTCTTTGAATAATATACCCAATGGTGACCAACTTAGAATAATATCAAATAATTCCATAAATGACACTGTTCTGCCTAGTACTGCAATTGGGACTCCTACTACCCATTACTCATCTTTACCTTACTTTCCTCAAGTTACTGCCAAACTTATTAAACTGTATAAACAGAAGAACATATCGTTAAAATTGCAGTTAAGAATGCCAAGACTGTTAGTAATTTGTCTTCAAAAACTAAAACACACTTGTCCCTTCTGGAACAAGTGAATGTCATTTACCATATACCTTGTGCTGAGTGTGACTCGTGTTACATCGGTCAGACTGGAAGATCACTGAGAGGGCGTCTTACAACGCACCGCAGTGATATCAACTTTTCTAAGCATACTTGTGCCCTTGCACAGCATGCAATTAACACTAAACACAAAGTGAATTTGAATGAAGTTAAGATTCTTGGTTCTGAACGCAATCTCGTTAAAAGGCAGAAGGTAAGAGCGAAGGACACGTCGAACGAAGAACACAATACTCCCTTCAAAATGGGCTCAAAGAAAAAATTTCAAAAATAAAAGCGGAATTAGGTATCAAGACAGTAGAAAAGGCCACAGCAAGTAAAAAAAGATGTAAGCCTTGTCAAAATAATAAACGTTCAAGGATCACGCGCTTCAGCTGTGAAATTTGCCAGCAATTTATCTGTATGGAATATTCAAAGTATATTTGTCAAGAATATAAAACTGCGATACAATAATATGTGTAATCTGCAATATCTAGGAGACATCTCTCAGATTTATAACACCGTTGTTGTTTTTAATGGAATTTAATAAAAAAAAATTAAAAAATACAGTGTATCAATCTTCCACCGAATATATTTTGTATTAATATTACAATATTTCATTACCTACATCAATAACTAGCTGGAAGGTAAGCAGTTTGCACGGGTGACAGAAATAACGTGTATGTAAAAGATTTATAAAATAATGAGATCGTAGGCTTCCACGGCCAGAGTCAGAATTATAATTTATTCGTCTTCCGGGTTTGGACCGTGTCATTTGTGAGTGACCCAAAAGTGGGTTCATCTCGACGTTTCGCTACAATTGTATGTAGCTTCTTCAGGAGAACAAAGAAAAAGAAAAAGACAAAGAAAACAAAAGACAGGAAGATGGGTAGTTAGCAACGGTAACTCAGTTATTCAACGCAACCAGAGGCGAATACTAACTACCAAGATGGGCATTTGGTCACAGTAACTCAACTACTCAACGCAGCCAGAGGTGAAAACCAAATGCCAGGACAGGGATTCACGTCCAACAGCTCAGAACACTAACGCGTCGAGAGGCGGGGAGTAAATCCGACGATTACTCCGCTACCGCTCTATTTATAGTCGCGGTGACCTGTCGTGTCGGGACGTATCGGCACACTTCGTGGCGCGAACGTCAAGAAGCGCGCGCTGGCCAATCATGTGGCTGCATCGTGGTAGCGGGACCGGACGGAGGCTCTAGACTGAGATTCCAGATGGGAGACAAGTAGTATCCTTCCTCTCGATTGATGTTATGTGGATTTTTTCGGATCTCTAGATATTCGCGGATTTTCCTGGAATAAAAGAAGGGGCTCTTAGAAATTAAATGGGTTTTATCGAACAATATGGAATGACCGGTTTCTTGGCAGTGTTCTGCAACTGCAAAATGGAAGAAAAGACCTGATCGAATGCATCTTTGATGCTCTTGAATCCTTGGTTTTCGCCTCTGGTTGCGTTGAGTAACTGAGTTACCGTTGCTAACTACCCATCTTCCTGTCTTTTGTTTTCTTTGTCTTTTTCTTTTTCTTTGTTCTCCTGAAGAAGCTACATACAATTGTAGCGAAACGTCGAGATGAACCCACTTTTGGGTCACTCACAAATGACACGGTCCAAACCCGGAAGACGAATAAATTATACTTTATAAAATATATGATTAAAACTTGTATGTAAAAGTAAACAAACAAATAAAATGGTAAAATTATAAAGCATAATTAAATTTTTTGATTTAATGAAATTAGATAAACGATTTGTTATCTAATATTGCTTCATATTACATATAATACTTGTCATGTCAAAATATGATGACTCTGTATATGCACGAAACGTTAACTCTATTGTTCTACTATTAACTCACCTTTATATAGATACCATCTAATAGTTATTTGTTGTTTACAGGCGGCGGAAAGTGGAAATCTAGAGATTTTCCAACGGCTCTATTATGCTGAACCGACTCGCCTTGTCATCCAGGATAGCCGAGGAAGGACACCTGCACACCAGGCGGCCTCGAGGAATAGAGTTAATATTCTGCAATTTATTCTAGATCAGGGAGGAGGTAACTTGCATTAAATTTGGTTTAGCTTTTCAATTTAATATTGAGTAGCCTGTCATTTTGTTTACTATTAATACTGACACGGATTCAATTTTGTATATATGTCAATAGCAATTCGAAGAAAAAGTAGATCAATGTAAACAAGACTATATCGATACTTACCACTAATAATAGTTATAGGACAGTGATATGAATGTACTGAATGTAGTGATCCGGAAAGATGGAAAAATTATAAAGACAGAGAAAATGAAAAATAAGCCAAATTTATAAAAAAAAATGTTATTTTTACATGTATCAATCAATCAATCAATATTCTTTATTTCTTCTGACTTTTATTATTCGACAAGTGAGAGCTGGCGGGTGAGCTACGCGAAAATAGAAAAGGAATTATTCTAAGAGAGATAGGAGAGGTACTTAATCGCGGGTGTCACAAATGCGCAGTTGCCGTATCAAAAATTTAGTTGGGATGTAAAAATTACGTTAATAGATATAATCCGTGGTTGTGTCATTGCGTGTAATAAACTTATTTACCAGGAAAACAAAATAGAAATAATAATAATATTGAATAAAACGTAGAAAAAATTTGTTAATAATATTTATTTTCATAAAACGTAATTAATTCGCGAAGGGAAGGTATTTTTGTGTGTATCGCGGACTGATGCAACTTGTGTGTCTTACAGTGGCTTCCCACGGTCGGCGATTCTACGGATCATCGCGGACAGCCGATCAGTACGGACGAGAACGCACCGCAGACAGAGCTCTTCCTACGGTCCGTGACAGTCTGTGTAGGTTCGTGACAGTATTGTTTGATTATATCATAAAAAGGCCACTCAGGCTTGTAAACATTAAATTCGGCATTAAATTATTTCTCTTCTTTTTTAATTCTTTAATCGAAATAGTACTATTCTTCAATTGATTTTTTATTTGGTTCCATACATCGTATATATCGGTTCCGCTTCTTATGCTCTGGTGCCGTAGAATTCCATAAATTTGTTTCATTTTGATACAAATTTAAAAAATCAAAAATAACTTCGTTTGTCCATTCCATTTTTTAGCAAAATACTGCAAAACAACTTTGACAACACTACAGACAACTACTCGTGTCAGCGAATGAAAAACTTCTGACTTGCACTTGTCGTCTGTTAAAACACAGACGCTCTAGGATTGCGTCGCACGAGCATGTACCGCACCTTTGATGTTACCGACTCTAGATGGATAGGACGGACCAGCACAGACGTGCCTGCGCTACCACGGACGAGACCCTTCCCACGGTGCGTGGTGCGTGCTGGTCCGCTTACGTCCGTAATATCGCCGACCGTGGGAAGCCGCTATTATTGATTACTAAACACTAAACTAAACAACACAGAAAACACATTTTTTATTTATTTTTCTAAGCCAGACGGTAAACTCAAGTATTATAGGCCTTTTATCTTGTGATGCTATTGCTTACAATATCATATTTCGTTTCCCATTTATAAAAAATGCAACGTATTCAAATGTATAATTAAAGTGTCCAGCATATCTGTAGTAAATAAACATGTTGTATTATCAATAATAGTAAACTGTAAAGTACTAATTAACTGATCCATTGTTTACTTATTATTTACTGCTATATTTTGTTCTGTAAATTTTTATTTATTTATTGATTGTAACTTAAATTAAATTATTTAAATCTAAATTTATTTTGAAAATGAGTATTATAATTACCAGTTAATTGAGCTACACGTTCTTGTATCTTTTTTAAATAAACTAAGACTTTATCTGCATTAGCATCTTCGGCTGTAAACTTACAAACATTGAAAATTATTTCTCTTGCTTGAGATCCCAAAGCTTTGCTTTTTAATACACTTGCCATTTTAATAAATATAAATAATAGTTTATAATATAGGGCCACTCCAAATAAAAATGTAAATACTTGACAACACTGTCAGAAATCTAGCACTAATTACACGATGTGAACTCCTAGGCGACTGCAATAGAAATGAGCAATCCCTTCCACTTTTCAATTTGTTCTACGCGCAACCCGCCAGCTCTCGCTTGTTGGATAATACAAATATTGAAATGCGTCAAAATACAATCTAAAAAAGCTATATGTACAGTTGCGGTCACGGAATAGTTTACACCTTACTTTTTATATTGTAATACTGTAAAATTGCAGTGTCGTACGGATTTGATAAATGTCAAAGTCAAAAAATTTCAAAACGTCAATGCTTTCGCAAGTGTTCAACAATAAAATAAAAGTATATTAAACTCTTCCAAAATGGTTAGAATACATTTGAATTATGCGCAAAAAGCAAGAGCAATTGCCAAACTCGAAGAAGGTTGGTCACTAAGGCAAGTTGCTGCTGATTTGAACGTGAGTCATATGTGCATATGGAAGATTAAACAAAGATGGGATAATTTTCACTCTATAGCACGGTTGGGCGGTTCAGGAGGGCAGAAGATTTCCACAGATCAACAGGATGAGATGTTAGTAGATTATTTGAGAGAATCTCCTTTTGCCACAGCTCAAAAGGCAAGAGAAGAGGCAGCGTTTCCAGGCAGTATTCGCACTGCACGTCGAAGAATTAAAGCAAGTGGACTGCTAAATTGTGTAGCTGCACGGAAACCTTTTTTGACTGAGGATCACAAGAGGAGACGAGTTGAATTTTGTAATGAATTTATAAACCGCGATGAGAATTTTTGCTCTAGGGTTGTATTTTCCGATGAAAAAGTATTTCAGTCGTATAATAATGGTCGAATAAGGGTTTATAGGCCGAGAAATCATAGGTATGATGAACAGTATACGCATCATTTAGGAAATAGTGGAGGATTCTCTGTCAACGTATGGGGATGGATAAGTGCCGAAGGCCCGGGCGTTTGTTATCATGTAGAGGAGAAGTTAACAGGATTATATTACAAACATATTATTGAGCACACAATGTTGCCATCGGTGATCCAGAGATTCCCCAACAACGACTTTATCTTCCAACATGACAATTGCCCGGTGCATACGAGTAGAATTGTTCGAGAATGGCTAGAAGAAACTGATGTTAATGTTCTTCCGTGGCCTTCCCGTAGTGCAGACTTTAACCCCGTCGAAAATGTGTGGGCAGAGTTAACAAAGAAACTAAATGAAAGAAACCTTAGACCACGGAATAGAATTGAATTATGGGAAGCAATTGAGCAGGCATGGGAAGAGCTTGTTAACTATAACATGAGGGGATTGGTGCTATCTATAGAGCACTGCAAAATTGTATTGACAAGAATGGGGCTTCCACCAAATATTACTTATTATTTATCATTGTTTATCGTTATTTAATATAAAATAGATTTAAAATAAAATGCATATTAAAAAAAAAGACTTCTTTATTTTCGTTATTAAGATCATAATCCATTTTATTCAAAAAACTGTTTTCTATATTTTTCATTTTGTAAAATATTTTGATATTTTAATTTTAATCTACCTATTCTAGCTAGTACACCACTGGCAACGTCACTTTGACGTAAAAGGTGCGTTTAAACGAAGTAAAAATTTAAAAAATGGGCTCCTAGATACGTGAACCTGTAAACTATTCCGTGACCGCAACTGTACATAAGAAAACATTTTAATACAAAATTATATATTCTAAATTTTAAGGCCTCTTACCTCTTTAAGGTCTTTAATAGTAAAAACTTCCCGCCATTATTTCTTGTTCAAAATAATCTATCTTGTATGAAAGCTTATCAGCTTTCTACAGACTGTTATTATTCTACAGACTACAGACAATCACAATACACAACAATAATTAGTTTTTATAGCTATTAATCTAAACTTAATATGTATTTATAAATACAAGTTATTGTTATAAAATATATTATGATCAAATTGTGTAAAAAATCAAAACAGAAACAAAACTGTTACTCTAAAAAAGCGGCAACACTTTATACACTTTTGCCACACGCTGAACTGTCAATACAATTTGAAGTATTTCCGTATCAGTTGCGTACAATTGTCTAATCTTTTAATTAAAATTTTTATTTTGTGGAATATTAGACTTAAAGAGTTATTTCATAAAATTTATATTATTAATAATACCAAATGCTTTTGGTTATATAATCAATATAATTCTAAGATTTCCAATATAATGATGATTACATTTTTCTGATTATTACACGATGTTGACGCCTATGAAAGATTGAGCAGTTCCGTATGGGTTTCGTATTATTAGCTATGTTAGGAAAATTTGGAATTCTAAGGTTGACGCTCTGAAAATTATAAATATAAATAACGTCACCTTATATAAATTGTGACGTGCAAGCATTTTTATATGAAAAATGCTATAGTAAAAAAAGGAAAAACTATAAGTACATAAAAACAGTTAACATAAAATCATATAAAATATACAAAACAACATACAAATTGTTATAAAGGTGCCTGCAAGTATTTACTGGCCAAAAGTAAATATGAGTGTATGATCTTAGTGTGTCCTATATGTAGGTGTGTTAGAACCGTTTGAATAAACCATGTACTAGCACTAGTTTTCCACTGTCGTGTATCTGGTTTTAGCGATCTTAATTTAGATTGCGATATAAAACCATACGCGCTGCCACTGACCAATCACTTTTTGTTCAAACAACGTTTTGAGATCTTTACATACACTCTCACGCACTAATTCAGATTCGGCACTTGTTGCTGCATCACGAGCAGTACTGTCTGCCTCTTCATTGCCGATAATTAATATATGCGATGGGATCCATATAAATTTAGGAGTTATGTGGTTGTCTTGGGCGATTTGTAGTTCAGTTTTTATTAGTTGCTCCAAGGGCTGTTTAGAATACAGATGTTGTATTGCAAGAAGAGAACTGAGCGAGAAAAAAAGGATATGGGATGAAGTAAAACAACAACTAAAAGAAAAATACCATAGAAAAGTTGCCAAAAAAAAAGGTTCCAAAAATAGGAAGAAAAACAGCTGGGAAGGTATGACACCGAAACAGCAAGATAAAAGAATACGACCACGTAAAGCGGAAAAATAAAGGCAAAA